CATAGAAGCCCAAGGTAGTTCTGGGCTGTCCCAAGCCTATGTCAAGGTTCCTTATAGAGGAAATTACATGTATTACCCATTTTAAAATAACAATTCATATAATAAATTCCAACATTTTTTATCCCATAGATAAATCACTTTCAAACCTCATTCTACGATGCATTAAAAAAGTTTACTATATATATATATATATATATATTCAATGATTCGCCTCTTTTTTTTGAAATACATAAATACACATTACTTTGAGGTCCTAATTTTTATTTCTATTTTCTATATATATATATGGGACTACGTAATTGATTTGGGTACGTTTTGTCTAATATGTTTTTTAAATTTTGTATTGAGTTTGGAGAATAAATAAATGAAATGCTTAATCTTAGGAAAATTCCGAAAAGGTCAGTTACATAAAAGTGTGTGGGTTCTAAATTTGGAATATAGTGTTTCTTAAAATATTTAACAAACTACACAGTATTTTATGGATTATTAACGTAACATAGTATAATTTGAAATTGTATGTTGTAATGATGCAAATACGAATTTTTCCGGTCCTTTTACCTAATTTCAAGTCTGCTTGTCGTTTACAGTTCATATGGGCTGTAACAGACCCAATAGCCATGGCCCATTAAGACAATTTGTCAAATTTTGAAATAGTTGAATGATAATTAGTGCAGTAATTTTGGAGAATTTGGATGAGAGTCCCCAATCTTTCAGGTAGTGTGGAAATGGTTTCTCGACTTCTAAAAATGAAGTTTTGACTCCAAAACCTCCTTAACGATGAGGGTTTGGATCCCCATGTAACGAAAATCAATCGTGTGGAAGTTAAAATGGCATCGCAACTTTCACATTAAGATTAGGGAAATATTATGCAATTTGAAGATTTTGTCATCTCTCTTTAATTCACATGTTGAAAGTCATCTATACTTTGAGTATCCACATCGTCATCTTTCATCGTGTGGAGACTTCAGTCATTGCTTGGCCACCACTTTGGAGAATTTATAAATTTTGAAATAGCAATTGATAGGAGAATGTGAGTGTGTAGTTGAAAAATAATGAAAAATTTTAAATTTGCGTGTAATATTATTTTATTTGGAGAATGTATGATTAAAATTAAAAAGGAGAAAAAAATTAATGAGGACCAATCAAAGGATCAATCTCACATTGTGTTGGATACTTTTATTTTTAATGGTTTCAATGAAAGTACAGTTTTTGAGAACCAAATATCAATTATTTCTGAATGAAAACACAAATGACAGCTGAGAAATGTACTAGAATTCCAGAGCATGAGGACACTTCCACTATATTCTCCCATCAATTGTTTTAGCAACACTAGTTTAAGTATTATTCTAAAAGATGAGCATTTACACCTTCAACATCAATACTTCATACGTCGAACGAAGGACTATCTTGGATCTAAGTTGAGAAATTGACGACGATTTTCAAATTTCTGACAAAAAATAGAAACATGTTATTTATAATCTTGAGGTCAAAGTGAGCCCCTTTAGTTAGAATGCAACTAATCAAAATGAATCAAATCTCTATAATCGAAACACATTATCGTTTGGTTAACGATTGATCGCAATACCACTGAGCTGCAGAAGAACAATGGGAAACTAGACTCTTAGAGTTCAATTTCCATTCTCAATTTATAACCATAGCATTTGAGTTCTTGGTAGTCAAAAAAATTGTTAAAAAGAAAAGAGAGGCACCAAATTCCAAAAGAAACGAGCACAAATAGAGCAGCTAAAACGAAAACCAAAAAAAGTTCACCACAAGCCGACAGTGCACCAGCCTGGGCCACCTTCATCCCACTAGCATTCACCACATTTCATACACCATTTTCTCTCAAATCTCTCTCTCTCTCTCTCTTTCTCTCACTCTCCCACTCATCTCATCTCATCTTCTATTTACAAGTTGCAACAGCCTTTTTAGTTTTTACAGTCTCTTTTGTGCTCTATTTTTCACCATTTCTTGTTCTCAAAATTGTGTGTAGTCCCTTTTCTCATGGCTAGACGTTTGTTTCTGGTGGTTGTGCTCATTTTAGCCATGGCTGCTCATTCAAGTAAGCATTTTCAACTACAATTTTTGTCCCCTTTTAAGGCTTAAATCTGCTTATAATATAATGGTATATCATCTGTATATATGCATTTACGCAAAAAATAGTGTCATAAAATTTTCTTGTGAATTTTCTAACTAATTTCTGAAAAATCCCATAATGCTACATAGTTTTTTGGAAACAAATTGGGGTCCTGCAAAGCATTCTTGATTCTTCTCTCATTTTTTTTTTTCTTTTTGCCTGCACAAATGGATCTTTTAAATGATCTTCTCTTTTTCTTTCTCTCTCTTTTTTTTTTTTTTTGGGCAGTAGGATCCCCATATTGTATCTTTTTTTACTTGAAGAAATAAGAAAAGAGTTGGTTTACTTTCTTTAAGCTTAGCCAGACATGCCATTAATTAATCTTAAGGAGGTTTTGTTTAATTTCGTCTCAATTATTGTGGGATTTTGGTAGGTGCCACATGGTGCATTTGCAAGGATGGATTGAGTAATCAAGCCTTGCAGAAGGCACTGGATTATGCATGTGGTGCAGGGGCTGATTGCAATCCAACTCATCAAAATGGACCTTGTTTCAACCCCAACACTGTGAGGGCTCATTGCAATTATGCCGTCAATAGTTATTTTCAAAAGAAAGGCCAAACCCCAACAGCCTGTGATTTTTCAGGCACTGCCTACACAGTTACATCTGATCCAAGTAAGTGTCCGCAAGCTCTAGTACGATTCGACAGTACAAAGCTACATTTAAAAAAAAAAAAAAATTTTAAAATCTTGTCATACTGTCTGGCCAAAATTTTAGGATAAAACTATTTGTTCATAATTTTTTTTACCGAAAATGTTACACTCTCTCACATGTGTGTGGGCTTGCGTGAATAAAAAACTCTCAAAAATGTGGTCCCAACACCCTATTGTGAGTGTAGGTAAAAGATTGGGTAAAAAAATTATGTACATGTAGCATTGTTCAAATTTTATAGAATTATGCTATGGGTACATAACCTTCAACATAAAGGTATCAATAACAAACATATGGAGCCCCCTATTGGGTGCCTGCGATGGACACAATTATTCCCAAATTTTATTACTATTTAGCCCCTGATTTAGCTCCATTCTATTAAGTTCCGTGTCTGGATTCCACTAAAACAAGGTTTTGGGGGGAAATGTGATAATGATTTCTATTTGGAAAATGTGTTATTAGAAGATAATGAAAATTTTGTAACATTATTTTACAAAGAAAGTAGTTGAAAATAAATTTTGAAAAATGCGTTCCAGAAAAGATAGAGTCCAAACACAAGTTGAAACTCATTTTTTCTTAAATTTATTTTGAACTACACGTTCTTCCAAAAATAGAGTCCAAACATTTTTTTTTTACTTTTTAAATATACATTCTCCAAAAAAAATCACTTTTTACAAAATCTATTCTTTCAAAAATTAGATCTCAAACACACCCTTAGTACGACGTGAAAGGTAAGGTTAGAGTTGTTGTTAGTCGCCAAACTTGTAGTGAATATCTATGGAGATTTCACTGAGTTACTGAACTTCAGCTAGAGGAACACACTTGTAAGGCTAGACGTTCAAAATAATAAAAATAATGCTATCTAACGTCGTTAGTGTTAGAAAATCAATCTATGTTACTTTGTGATAGACTTCATAAAAGGTAAAATTAAATGATGAACTGTACTAGATATATATACTTGGTTCGCATTAAATTTCACATTTCCCTCAAATGAGGTGTGACTCACAATCACCGGCTCCACCCTCATGTGAGGGGGATGTGAAACTTAATGTGAATCAAGTGTTTACATTTAATTTATATTACTAAATGAATCATTTAATTATACATTTTATTTAATGTCACATTAGTGTTACTTAGATTTGCATTTTAACATCAATGTTGCTAAATAACATGACTCAAATAATAAAATGACGGGTTTTAGTCCACGTCATCTTTTGTGTCTTAACACATTCGATTTATGGGAGATGGATGAAGGGACTAAAAGTAATGAAAGAAATTCAGGTGATTAAAGTGAAAGTTTACTATAAGTCC